ACATAGATCAAGGGGGACAAAAGTGGATTTTAAAAATGTATAAACTTTATACTTATTTTAGGAGAAATATAAAATTAAGATATTCATAATAATACCAATACCCGATTAAGTTGTTTCTGTTGTTGAAATCTCACCAAAAATTGGATTATTGAATTACAGTAAAACTCTTTACAATGAAAAACTCTGTATAACATAAACATTACATAATAATGGTTGGTTTGCTTTACGACCCATTAGTCAATTCATTCTCTATAATGTAGGTTTTACTTATTTGATATCGTTAAATATTTTCATAAACAAAGCACCCAATTCATAAAACTGATTTACATCATCAAATAATTAAAATAATTACTACAGTATATATTATAAGATATATACTGATAATAAATTAAATAATTATTTTTACAGTTAGTCTAACAAAACAAATATAAATAATTCTGCAGAAAATTACATTTTTAATTATTTTTGTAAAAGCCCAAAAATAATTGAACTTACTTCGATGATATTCTTCTAAAAATATTTTTTTTTTTTAAATTCTACACGCCTTTACCGATTAAAGTAAGTAGCGCTCCAATAGAACGTATATTTAAGGAGGTGAGAGGAGTTATGTACAAGAAATGAAGGAAAATGACTGATGCTAATTTTGAAAAAGTTATGATGATTAAATATAACAAATTGTAAATGTTTTTTATGAATAAAATAAAGAAAAGCAATAACAAATTAAAGTATACCTATGATTTTAAAATGTAATAACTATTTTATCCAAAAAAATGTATTATGGGCAAAAAAAAATACAGTAAAATATATTAAAAAACAGTATTATCAAGGTTTTCGAATATTTCAAAATGTATTTGAAATATAAATTTTGAAAATGACTCGAAAGTACTTTTACAAGACTGTATATAACTCATAGTTATATGCACTTTATGAATACAAAGATTATTAACATTTTTATGTATTTTTTTGTGAAAAAATAATGTTTTTATAATTTTGCCAAAATAATGGAATCTTGGTCAAATTTAAAATATAATTTAAAAACAAAATAAAGACATTGATATAATAATAAAAATTAAGTAGGTAAGACTGTATTTAGGAGGATCCGTGGGTTCCGAACTCCCTCGAAATAACTTCAATATTTTACAATTCATATATGCTTGGATCATAATATGCCTTTTGTTAGTTACCGAATTATAGAGTCCCGATCGACCGCAATCGGTTATTATATCTACAAAAAAATTAATAAATCACCATTTCGTTACATTTTTTTAAATTTATTAAACATCTAAGATCCCCTCACGAAAAAAATTTAAATACGACCTTTATGCGTTAATTAATAAATATTTAAGGAAATAGATGTAAGTCGTTATAAAGGTGAAGTCAATTTTACAAAAAAAATTACCGGAGGGGGAGAGGATGACAAACGTTGCTGCCCCGAGGCGTTGTTAATTTCGCGTATACGAATGCCTGTTGTTCCAGTCGAACACTCGGAAAAGTGACTGGAGCTGGACGGCGAATGACCGATCGAAAACGGGTGCCAGGGAACACCGGGTTCAAGCGGACCTGAAGAAATTGTTGTTGGACTTGACGACCGGGTACCTGAGGGAGGGCGCGTCGGACCTGGTGGACTACGGGATCGAGTTCTTCAATCGGCTGAAAAAGTGCCGGGCCGCAGGGCCCGGAGGTTGCACAGGCGAGAGAGCGCACGGCGGCGATGACCACAAGGCGCGGCCGGAGCGCAACGGCTGCGGCCAGCAAGTGCTGAGCAGCGGTTCGGTGGACGATGACGACGGTGGGCCGGTACGGACGTTTGCCAAGTCGGCCGAGGTGCGGCGAGCGTTG